CTTTCTTCTTTCTTCTTCTTATTCTTTCTCTCTCTCTCTCTCTTCTCCCTTCTTCTTCCTCTCTTCCTTGCTTATCAATTTGTTGGCTTCTCAACCCTAAATCTAGGTTCTCAACCCCAAATCTAGGTTACCCATATATGGGTTCTCAAAATAGCTAATCCAAGAGTCAAAGGTTTAAGAAGGCAAAAAAGCCTTGTAAGCGCACTAGATTTGGTGACAAACGATGAGACTGGAGAAAACATTAGAGATTGCCTTGCATAGGTGGGCGTAGAATTGGAGCTATTGGTGACACTAGATGGTAGGTAAGAGCCACTTAATGTCACCAAATCTCCATTCCAACACTCACCATGATATGAATAGGATGATGATGAGAAGAGACTCTCAAGGAAGTAAAGAAGTCAAAGAAAATTGAGAAGAAAATAGCAATGAAAATCAAAAGCTGCTGATGCATTGATAGTTTTGAGATGATAGAACGCTTAAGAGGTGATGGTAGTCAGAAATTTGGAGAAGAGTGGAAGGTAATTTGGTAGATGTTGAGATGATTGAAGAAGCTGGGGTCGCCAAAAATAGAAATCAAGAAAAATCAAGAGAAAAAGGGGCTGATGGCTTGGAGATTAGATTTAGGGTTTTTTGTGTTTATAAGATGTATATAAATGATAGTGAAATGGTGAGTATTAGGATTAGAGATTAAAATATGATTAAAATATCACATCATCAACTTATGTGTTTTTTTTTTCCACATCACTATTGTTTAAAAAAACTTTGGATTTTCTGACAATTTAACTTGCCACTTGACACTTCTACTAACGGAAGAACCATTTTCGTACAAAAAATAAAATTTTGATATAATTTTGATATTTTCTAAAGTTTAAGAATAATTTTAACATTAAAATAGAAAGTTGAGGAATCAGAATAATATTTTAACCTTAAAAGTACGATGTTATTTACGCCTAATCACATTGGCCAAGAAAACCAGCGACCCTGTGGTTATTAGGTGAAAATTTTAACAATATAAAATGTTCATATTTGGATGAGAAAATGTTTCTTTTTTGGGCCATAGATGAAAAATATATGGTTATGACCAAAATATTTATTAAAGTATAATGAGTTAATTTTACTCTAATAAAACTATTAGTATTTTTAAATAATATAATAATAAAACTTAAATATTATTATATAAAAATTATTATATAATTAAATATAAATTAATTAATTTTAATTTTATTTAAATAATTAAAATTAAATTATTTGAGTAAATTAATTAAAGAAAAACTAAGGTTGTTTTAGAATTTTATTTTATATATATTTACTAGCTAGTAACTAACACTATATTAAAGTAAATTAAACTTAATAAATTTGAATTTTTATGATAAAATTTTTGTTTGCAAATAGAGCAATAATTACTAAATATTTAAAAAAATAAAAACTCAAAAAAACTTAAAACAAAAGTTATACTAAATGTAGCCTAAATTGACTTTAAAGTAACACTAAGTACTAGAATTTTAAGGTATCTAATTTTACTATGATCAACTAATATAAAATTTAAATTAATATATTTTCAAGATCTTTACCATTTATGTAATAGCAAGATTTTTTAACATATTCAATATTTTTTTCAAGTTATATTAACTTTATCTTCATCTATTAATTTACTATATTTTTATATGAATTTAAATAATAAATATATATTATACCATGAAACTCCACTTTCAATCTATTTATCATTAATGTTAAATGAATCACATTAGCTCAATTATCACTTTCATTTAATTATTGATATATATTATTAGAAATTATTACATAAAATTTACTCTCAATATATCTTAATTATGCTCACTAAATTAATTTTAATAGTGGTCAATCATTAAATAATATTAAAAATAAATATATATACTTTATATAAAATAATAAATCTTAAAAGTATAAATATTACAAAATTATATATCAAATTAAGTAGGTTATATTGTAGTTTTAGATGACTAAATTAATTTATACTTCGAGAAATTCAAATCAAATATCTTATTATAAATATAAAAATATTTAATATCATAAAATAAAATGTAAAGGCAAACAAATTTAATTTAATAATATAAAATTTCAAATCTTAATTTTCCTTTGATGAAGAGTTTTCCTTGTCATCTCTCTCTTGCTCTTCAAAAATTCTTAAAGTTTGATCTTAAATAAATATTTATAGAATTTAAGAAATTTTATTAAAAAAATAGGACCTGCGAACAAAAATTTAAACTTTCAAAGCTGAAAGTGTGTCGAGTGTGACCACCCTAGCGTGGGCATCGGTTTTCTGTTTATTTTACCCGGCCACTAATTTCCAAAGGCTTAGCGCATGGTGTCGATAACTAGCAAGTGGTATCGACACTTGTAATTGCACCAAACCAGAAGTTCTTCTTCAGTTCGCGCTTGTACTCCAGGATGACCTGCAAAGCCTCGAGATGGAACTCAGGGTAGACACTCCGATGCTTAAGTCAGTAATAATCGGGGCTACCTTTAGGGCGGAGATAAAAAGAGCTTAGGGTTGGTTTCAATTACCTTTTTGACGTGGCCCGGGGGGGTATTTATAGGATCCAATGAGGAACCCACATGTCATGCCAAGCAAGATAATCGGACCCTGACGTGTCCATCCAGACGATTATTCTGGGACTGGGAATTTGAGAGGTATTCAGATGCACAAGCGTTCACCATACTTGCTGTGCCACTCATCATAAGCAATCAAGTGCGGGCATGCTTATTGTCATTGTCATGCAGCTATTTGAGCGGAAAGCTTTGGATTTATTCCTCACTTCGGTCATAAAGGAATTACTGTAGCAGTCCGAGGCTTGGCACCTTGGATCTGTCCTTA